TTAGCGGTGGTGACGTGAAGTCATGTGACGTGAAACATATGTTTTTGGTCGAGGACACCCTTACGATGCTTATTTCAAGGTTAGCTGACAAAAACATAACATCTCTTTGGTGCTGCAGTTAGTTTTTGTTCACATACACATTACATGTCACTAGACGCTTTTATCCAAAGCGACTTACATACTCAATACTGTGGGCAATCCCTACAGGAGCACTTTGGGGTGAAGTGTCTCAGGGACACAACGACAAGCTGACTGCAGTGGGGTTTGAACCTGTAACCCCCTGATCCGGACACCAACGCATTATCCACTGCGCCACATCTGTACCTACCCTTTAAAAGCTCTTATCCGTCAGAGACTAGCAGAGCGTTGCACCTCCTCAGGTCTCCTTCTGATCATCTGGCCTTGTTTGCTGCTCAGGATTTGGAAAACATGACGACGTGTGCTTTAGGAACCGGGGCGGGGGTCCAGTAGGTAGACGGAGGAAAGCCAAACGGAGAGAGTGGCATTATGAAACAATGAAGTAATGGAGAGAGAAGGGGAGAGGCTGGAACAAGTGCATGAGAGAGGGAATGTATAGGAAGAGGAGGGGAAGTTAGGCTCTGGTTTCTTTCCTCCCTGGCGCCTTAGCATTCGGAGGGTTTTGTAATGAACCCTGACGTCTTGATGCAAACGAGTGCGACCGCTAACACTGATTTAACCTTTATGTTGGGTCTAAACATCAGATTCAGAATCAGGTTTGGTAGGTTGACACGTACGAGGAATCTGACTTGATGTCGTGGTGCATACAAAAAAGTAAAACAAGAATTAAAAACACAGATAGAGAACTAGAAAAATATAAAATAAAATATAGTAATATATCACAGTATTTACACAGAAATTGAATAAAATATGGAATACAAATCTGAAAACAGATATTGTTGTACAATGTGTGCATTAATGTAAGGCATTATGCCACGCTCTTGTAATTCTTTCCTAGAAAATGTCCTCTGCTACACAGGAAGTCATATTTTTCCAGCTGTAGCAACAAAAGTGTGTGTGTTGAATTAGAAGAAAACGTATTTAAAATAGTTGAAATATGTAAGAAAAACCAAGGTAGAGAAGTCAAACCAAACGGCCATTATACTGTTTGATTGACAGGTGAGAAGTGTAGCGACTGTTAACAAGGAATGTTAGACACACACACACACACACACACACACTCACACACACACACACACACACACACACACACACACACACATACACACACACACACACACACACACACACACACACACACACACAGCTGCAGTTTCTTTGCTTGCTGTAGAAACGTGTGAAACAAAAGGTCACAGAGCTCAAGGCGTCCAGCGGTGAGAGAAACGAGGACATTTGAGCTCACACGCTTGTAATAATACTTTAAAAAATACATTAATACTTGGGTCAATAACACACTCATTTAATACATTCATAGGCTGTCAGACCCTATTCAACCTCCCTTAAAAGTATACATGCTGATATACACCTGAACATCAGCAGGAGAGGACTCTTTAAAGTAGAGACACTACATACTGATATACACCTGAACATCAGCAGGAGAGGACTCTTTAAAGTAGAGACACTACATACTGACATACACCTGAACATCAGCAGGAGAGGACTCTTTAAAGTAGAGACACTACATACTGATATACACCTGAACATCAGCAGGAGAGAACTCTTTAAAGTAGAGACACTACATACTGATATACACCTGAACATCAGCAGGAGAGGACTCTTTAAAGTAGAGACACTACATACTGATATACACCTGAACATCAGCAGGAGAGGACTCTTTAAAGTAGAGACACTACATACTGATATACACCTGAACATCAGCAGGAGAGGACTCTTTAAAGTAGAGACACTACATACTGACATACACCTGAACATCAGCAGGAGAGGACTCTTTAAAGTAGAGACACTACATACTGATATACACCTGAACATCAGCAGGAGAGGACTCTTTAAAGTAGAGACACTACATACTGACATACACCTGAACATCAGCAGGAGAGGACTCTTTAAAGTAGAGACACTACATACTGATATACACCTGAACATCAGCAGGAGAGGACTCTTTAAAGTAGAGACACTACATACTGATATACACCTGAACATCAGCAGGAGAGGACTCTTTAAAGTAGAGACACTACATACTGATATACACCTGAACATCAGCAGGAGAGGACTCTTTAAAGTAGAGACACTACATACTGATATACACCTGAACATCAGCAGGAGAGGACTCTTTAAAGTAGAGACACTACATACTGATATACACCTGAACATCGGCAGGAGAGGACTCTTTAAAGTAGAGACACTACATACTGATATACACCTGAACATCAGCAGGAGAGGACTCTTTAAAGTAGAGACACTAACTGATATACACCTGAACATCAGCAGGAGAGGACTCTTTAAAGTAGAGACACTACATACTGATATACACCTGAACATCAGCAGGAGAGGACTCTTTAATGTAGAGACACTACATACTGATATACACCTGAACATCAGCAGGAGAGCACTCTTTAAAGTAGAGACACTACATACTGATATACACCTGAACATCAGCAGGAGAGGACTCTTTAAAGTAGAGACACTACATACTGATATACACCTGAACATCAGCAGGAGAGGACTCTTTAAAGTAGAGACACTACATACTGATATACACCTGCACATCAGCAGGAGAGGACTCTTTAAAGTAGAGACAATACATACTGATATACACCTGCACATCAGCAGGAGAGGACTCTTTAAAGTAGAGACAATACATACTGATATACACCTGCACATCAGCAGGAGAGGACTCTTTAAAGTAGAGACACTACATACTGATATACACCTGAACATCAGCAGGAGAGGACTCTTTAAAGTAGAGACACTACATACTGATATACACCTGAACATCAGCAGGAGAGGACTCTTTAAAGTAGAGACACTACATACTGATATACACCTGAACATCAGCAGGAGAGGACTCTTTAAAGTAGATCAAGATATAGTGCAGATTTATTCGGCTAGTTTTTGTGTTGTTTGGATCATATCTTCTTCACTTTATTTTTCCCTCAGTGCTAATTAATAAGTCCTCTCGTCCCTCAAGCGTTGCCTTTTTAATCCTGCGTCTCTCCTCCGCTCTGTCCTGAGGGACGGAGAGTACAGTACTGCTCAGCACAACAACACCTGCTATACACTGACTCTCACTCTCCACCTGCAGCACAGATCAGCGTTAAAGATAAAATAAGAAGTTCTCTATTGATCCCAAGTTGTGACACTTTGAACATGAACGTGGCTGATATCCGTAACCTCATGCGTAAAACTCAAGCCTCTATTCTACAAAACGGCTTTCTGAGAAAACCTTCTGATGAGCTCGGAAATGTGAGTTTTGCGGATTGACTGTCATTTAAATCTGTGTTGTCGGGTAGTTTTTGGGGGACGTTGGTAGAAAAGAGAACGTTTTTTACTCCTATGTCTAAGTGTTGCTCCTTTTTGATTTTCTACTAGTCGTTAGATTCCTAAGAGGTTGTTTTAAAGACAACTTTGGATGATACACACATAGGATCTACTGTGTTTGAATGAATTTGAGGACTGCTTTTCAGTCTAACGTGTATTTTTTGTTGATGTATATATATTTTAAATGTTGAATTAAGCAGACATTTCATTTCAGGATTCAACTTATCTGAGATAGAAGATGATGGAAATTGAACCCTGCTCATTTTAAAAGTGTTAGATTTAAAGTATTTATTGGGAATGTTGAAAATGAAATCAATAAATTGAGTATTCTAAATATACATGATCAAGATGACCTTTAATAACCCTGACGAGATTAATTTATATATAACGCTGTGAAAAATATCTGACAAAATCTCACACTCACAGAATACTTTATTCTAGTTTGAATTGTATTTATTCGGGAAGGTTTTGATTTATGATAATCCAGTATAGTGTGTTCTTGAAAAAGGAAATGCACAGTAAGAAAGAACAGACTCACATAGTATTGTATTTATTTATCTTTATTTTTTTATTTTTGCGTGGGTTATTTTGATGATTACCTAATTTAAGATTATTTAAGAGTTTGATCTGGTTGGTTTGTGGTGTCTGTGGCTCAGTTGATGTCGCCCTCGAATCACAAAGATTTGATTCCCTCGCAGACATGTTGATTTAATCTTTGGCGAGATACTAAAGTGTGTGTGTGTGTGTGTGTGTGTGTGTGTGTGTGTGTTAAACTCCCTGTATAGCAGCCTATAGGTATGAATGTGTGTACATGGGTGAATGTTTATCCTATCTGTGTTGCAATAAAACGATACAGGCAACTCTTGTTGGTTAAAGTCGTGATGTATTTTTACCCACAATGCCTGTGCTCCAGCCTGTGTGTGTCCTATGAAAACGGTCATTTGTCTCCGAGTTTGTGCCTCAGTGATAAATGATTTTAATTGCGGCCTTCTCCTAGTTGTCAGTAATAAAGATGGCTGATGTGTAGCTTCGCCTCCCTTCTTCATTTGTCTTAATGAACAGGACAGAGTTTAGTTGATGAGGTGTTGCAGAACATATACATACATATATATATATATATATATATATATTTGTTATTGTTTGTTAATAGAGAATACATATTGTGCATTTTTGTTATTTTAATGGAGTGTAGCAACAAAAAGCTGTGTGTGTGTGTGTGTGTGTGTGTGTGTGTGTGTGTGTGTGTGTGTGTGTGTGTGTGTGTGTGTGTGTGTGTGTGTGTGTGTGTGTGTGTGTGTGTGTGTGTGTGTGTGTGTGTGTGTGTGTGTGTGTGTGTGTGTGTGTGTGTGTGTGTGTGTGTGTGTGTGTGTGTGTGTGTGTGTGTGTGTGTGTGTGTGTGTCACCACTTCAAACGAGTCAACCTCTTTGCTTTGTTTGTCTTTGATCTGATTGAACTCTTTAAACAAAGGATTATTTTCTCTCTTCTGAAACAACACGCCTCACCTCCTGTGTTTCCTCCTCAGGTGGTGGCCAGTGACGGGGTTCGGGCGATGATGGAGTCCGCCCTGACAGCCAGAGACCGGGTGGGGGTGTCCGACTTTGTTCTCCTGGAGAACTTCACGAGCGAAGCCTCGTTCATCGAGAACCTCCGAAAGCGCTTCAAAGAAAACCTCATCTACGTGAGTCAAAGTCAACTTCATTGTCAATCTTTGAGTTTGTGTGTACAGACAGAGAGATCGAAATAACGTTTCCCACAATCCTGAATACAAAATATGTATAAAAATACGTATATCCTATATATATACACAATCAACAGACACATTTATACATATGCACACATTAAGACATAACTAAAAGTACAACAATCAATATATACAAAATAACAGTCACTTCAATATCTTTGAGAAATGTACATTAGTGCAAGATTCCAGAGAGGGCTAAAGTACACACATCCTGTACTCAAGTAGAAGTACAGATACTCGTGTTTAAAAATACTCTGGTAAAAGTAGAAGTACTGACTAAACTTATTTAGTGAAGTGAAAGTAAAGAGGCTTTGAAATGTACTTCAGTAAAAAGTACCCATAACTAGCAGCTGTTTTAAAGAGTACCTGACCTCCCTTTATATTAATAGAACAATAATGTCATTGTTAGCTAATGAATGTTTCCATGCTGAACAACGGCAACATGACAACGTTTCCATTGGTCCCTCTTCTTTAGAGAAGACCAGGAAATGATGGATACACGGATCGTGTTCAAATCAATAGGCACGCAATGACTCTAAAGAATAATGATCACGCACCAAACACACATTCAGACTAAAGGAACCAGCTGTTTGGAAAATGAGAGAAGTAGAAAGTACAAGTATTTGTGTTCAACATGTAAGAAGTAGAAAGTACAGGTATTTGAGTTCAACATGTGAGAAGTAGAAAGTACAGGTATTTGAGTTCAACATGTAAGAAGTAGAAAGTACAGGTATTTGTGTTCAACATGTGAGAAGTAGAAAGTACAGGTATTTGGGTTCAACATGTAAGAAGTAGAAAGTACAGGTATTTGAGTTCAACATGTAAGAAGTAGAAAGTACAGGTATTTGGGTTCAACATGTAAGAAGTAGAAAGTACAGGTATTTGAGTTCAACATGTAAGAAGTAGAAAGTACAGGTATTTGTGTTCAACATGTAAGAAGTAGAAAGTACAGGTATTTGTGTTCAACATGTGAGAAGTAGAAAGTACAGGTATTTGAGTTCAACATGTAAGAAGTAGAAAGTACAGGTATTTGAGTTCAACATGTAAGAAGTAGAAAGTACAGGTATTTGAGTTCAACATGTAAGAAGTAGAAAGTACAGGTATTTGTGTTCAATATGTAAGAAGTAGAAAGTACAGGTATTTGAGTTCAACATGTAAGAAGTAGAAAGTACAGGTATTTGTGTTCAACATGTAAGAAGTAGAAAGTACAGGTATTTGGGTTCAACATGTGAGAAGTAGAAAGTACAGGTATTTGAGTTCAACATGTAAGAAGTAGAAAGTACAGGTATTTGTGTTCAACATGTAAGAAGTAGAAAGTACAGGTATTTGAGTTCAACATGTAAGAAGTAGAAAGTACAGGTATTTGTGTTCAACATGTAAGAAGTAGAAAGTACAGGTATTTGAGTTCAACATGTAAGAAGTAGAAAGTACAGGTATTTGAGTTCAACGTGTAAGAAGTAGAAAGTACAGGTATTTGTGTTCAACATGTAAGAAGTAGAAAGTACAGGTATTTGAGTTCAACATGTAAGAAGTAGAAAGTACAGGTATTTGGGTTCAACATGTAAGAAGTAGAAAGTACAGGTATTTGAGTTCAACATGTAAGAAGTAGAAAGTACAGGTATTTATGTTCAACATGTAAGAAGTAGAAAGTACAGGTATTTGTGTTCAACATGTAAGAAGTAGAAAGTACAGGTATTTCAGTTCAACATGTAAGAAGTAGAAAGTACAGGTATTTGTGTTCAACATGTGAGAAGTAGAAAGTACAGGTATTTCAGTTCATCATGTAAGAAGTAGAAAGTACAGGTATTTGTGTTCATCATGTAAGAAGTAGAAAGTACAGGTATTTGTGTTCAACATGTAAGAAGTCAAAGTAAAAAGTCGTCAGAAAAGTAAGTAGTGGAGTAAAGTACTGATACCAGAAACATGTACTTAAGTACAGCAACAACGTATTTGTACTCTACTACTTCCCACCTCTGTTTATTTCATTCTAAAATGGAGCAACTGTCACAAAGCCCTTTTTTCCCTGTGTGATATATGAAGTATTCAGATTTTAATGTATCATGTGATGCATGTTCTCTCTCCTCCAGACGTACATCGGGTCGGTGCTGGTGTCCGTTAATCCTTACAAAGACCTGGAGATCTACACCAAGAACCACATGGAGCGATACCGCGGAGTCAACTTCTACGAGGTGTCTCCACACATGTGAGTACACACCTCTGCACACACACTTTAGAGTTGGGATGACGTATTTCTGGAGTGGACCCTGAAAGCAGTATCTCCCTGGTTCCCTCCATTAAAGAAAAATGGTATTTCCCCATTGGATTTAGCAAAAAAAATAATCTCTGTGTCAAACAAATGTTTATGATATTTACACGTTTTCTTCAGCCATATATTAACCACTTTATGATTTCTGAATTAAAAAGCCTCCTATAAAGGAACTACAGCATGGTCACATGACTTCACGTCACCACCGCTAAGCTAAAGGAGGCTAATGTTGGGCTATAAAGGAACTACAGCACGGTCACATGACTTCACGTCTCCACCGCTAAGCTAAAGGCGGCTAATGTTGGGCTATAAAGGAACTACAGCACGGTCACATGACTTCACGTCACCACCGCTAAGCTAGATGCGGCTAATGTTGGGCTATAAAGGAACTACAGCACGGTCACATGACTTCACGTCACCACCGCTAAGCTAAAGGTGGCTAATGTTGGGCTATAAAGGAACTACAGCACAGTCACATGACTTCACGTCACCACCGCTAAGCTAAAGGCGGATAATGTTGGGCTATAAAGGAACTACAGCACAGTCACATGACTTCACGTCACCATCGCTAAGCTAAAGGCGGATAATGTTGGGCTATAAAGGAACTACAGCACAGTCACATGACTTCACGTCACCACCGCTAAGCTAAAGGCGGCTAACGTTGGGCTATAAAGGAACTACAGCACGGTCACATGACTTCACGTCACCACCGCCAAGCTAAAGATGGCTAATGTTGGGCTATAAAGGAACTACAGCACGGTCACATGACTTCATGTCACTACCGCTAAGCTAAAGGCGGCTAATGTTGGGCTATAAAGGAACTACAGCACGGTCACATGACTTCACGTCACCACCGCTAAGCTAGAGGCGGCTAATGTTGGGCTATAAAGGAACTACAGCACAGTCACATGACTTCACGTCGCCACCGCTAAGCTAAAGGCGGCTAATGTTGGGCTATAAAGGAACTACAGCACGGTCACATGACTTCACGTCGCCACCGCTAAGCTAAAGGTGGCTAATGTTGGGCTTAATGGCGTTTAGTCGTCTCATTGGGACACTTTAGACACAGTTTTTTTAATTCATAGTCTCATTATAAAGTTGATTTTCTCATCAGCCCACCTCTATCCATAGTAAACAGCATGTTGTTTTCACCTCTTGATGCTTTGTGAAGCGTTTTTCCCTTGAGGATGACCTCACATTTGCTGCACCTGCTTCCTGCATGTTGTCACAGTGTTTACCTGCAGTAATATTTGCTCAGTCAACACGCTACGTAACGCTCTCCCTGTCAGTCAGACTGTCTGCAGGACGTCGGGTCACGAGAGTTTGTGCGGAACATTTTCCACTGGAATGATGAGGGAATTCCCTTAAACCCTGCAAAACAATCAGGAGCATTATGTGGACTCAAGAAGTGACGTCATCCTTTCTCAATAGCTCTTTCTCCCTATGCCAACCAGAGGAGTTTTATTTTGTTTTATATTCTGGTCAGGATCCTCTCTATGGAGCACCTGTAGAAGGTCAGGATGCTCTCTATGGTGCACCTGTAGAAGGTCAGGATCCTCTCTATGGAGCACCTGTAGAAGGTCAGGATGCTCTCTATGGTGCACCTGTAGAAGGTCAGGATCCTCTCTATGGTGCACCTGTAGAAGGTCAGGATCCTCTCTATGGTGCACCTGTAGAAGGTCAGGATCCTCTCTATGGTGCACCTGTAGAAGGTCAGGATGCTCTCTATGGAGCACCTGTAGAAGGTCAGGATGCTCTCTATGGTGCACCTGTAGAAGGTCAGGATCCTCTCTATGGTGCACCTGTAGAAGGTCAGGATGCTCTCTATGGTGCACCTGTAGAAGGTCAGGATCCTCTCTATGGTGCACCTGTAGAAGGTCAGGATGCTCTCTATGGTGCACCTGTAGAAGGTCAGGATCCTCTCTATGGTGCACCTGTAGAAGGTCAGGATCCTCTCTATGGAGCACCTGTAGAAGGTCAGGATGCTCTCTATGGTGCACCTGTAGAAGGTCAGGATGCTCTCTATGGTGCACCTGTAGAAGGTCAGGATGCTCTCTATGGTGCACCTGTAGAAGGTCAGGATACTCTCTGTCACCTGTAGAAATGTCAGAGTATCCTGGAGTCCATGTCGAACCTTCGCAGCCCAATATTGTTGAAAACCCAATATTTGATTTGATTTATTTTCGACCGTGTAAAACAATAATACAAACAAAATAATAATAATGAAATGAAAACAAGACAATTCCCTCATTCAGATTCAAAATGCTTCACATAAACGTTGAACTCATTACGACAAAGAAACACTATTATTTATGTGTATTTATTGGGCTTTACCCGAATATTCGTTCGTTGGAGTACTATTCGGGTTTCAATTTCGTTATTTGGATATTCGTTTTTTTTTTTTTTTTTTTTAAATTGAATTTATTGAAATCTCCAATATCAGAGCTTGTGCCTCTTCGGGGGGTGCTAACACTTAACCATAAACTTTATCGTTTACTTTCTCCGTCTTTATATGTAGATATTACTTTTTCTCTGTTAATCTCCATCACGTTGTTTCCATAGCAACAACAACTTCCTGTCAACAGCACTAACTCTCCTTCAAAATAAAAGCATGTCCATACAAAATAGGAAGCCAAGCCAAATTACACTTAAGACATATACAACTGCAACGAAAGTAACAAACACAATGCGATATCCTTTTAAATTTCAAAGAACACAAATTGGGTTACATTAACAAATAACTATAAAACAACAATACAGTAGAATAACAAAACAGGAAGTTACGTTAAGACATGTATACAATTGCAATGAAAGTAACAAAAACAATGCCATCTCCTTTTCAGGTTCAAAGAACACACATTGGGTTATTTACATAAACTATTCATATTGCAAATACATGTTTTAGCCAGGAAGGGAAGACGGACATGGATATGAGTCATGTGATTTGCAATATCGCAATATACCGTATCGCAATACTTAGCATATCGTAGAATCGCAATACTATCGTATTGTGGCTTAAGTAAGGAGCCTGGTGATTCCCAACACTAGTAAACATAGAGCCACATGTTTTCTCTCCCTCCGAGTGGAAAGAGATATGATCTCCAGCACATAGAGGAGGAGGGAGACGGTGCCAGGCGAGAGTTTCCTCCCTTCAGAGGGATTCCCCTGAACAGAGAACCATCAGAGCTGATGCTCCAGGAATTAGTCTGGTGTCAGAAACGAGTCGAGAACAGGCTGAAACAACAGAGAGGAACTGATAGCAGCGACGTGTCTGAGAGATGATCTGTTACTGAAACACTCTGAACACACACACACACACACACACACACACACACACACACACACACACACACACACACTACACATACACATACACACACACACACACACACACACACACACACACACACACAATATGAGAAGCTATCTTATGATACCTTCACACTGACACTCAAGTTTTCCAAAATATGTTGTTGTTTTTCCGCAGTGATTTGTCAGGGCTCTCATGATCCTTAAAAA